GAGGTGTTGGGGTGGATCCCAATGGGATTGGGGTGATCCCAAAGGACACAGAGGTGTTGGGGTGGATCCCAATGGGATTGGAGCGATCCCAAAGGATGCAGAGGTGTTGGGGTGGATCCCAATGGGATTGGGGCGATCCCAAAGGACACAGAGGTGTTGCGCTGGATCCCAATGGGGTTGGGGCGATCCCACAGGATACAGAGGTGTTGGGATGGATCCCAATGGGATCGGAGAGATCCCAAAGTGTTGGGATAGATCACGATGTGATTGGAGAGATCCTGATAGGACTGGGGAGATCCCAATGGGATTAGAGAGATCCCAATGGGCACAAAGGCATTGGGATGGATTCCAATGGGGCTGGGTGGATCCCAATGGGCACAGAGGTGCTGGGATGGATCCCAATGGGATCTGAGTGATCCCAAATGTACATGGAGGCTTTGGGATGAATCCCAATAGGATCCCTGTGGGATTGGAGAGATCCCAAAATGTTGGGATGGATCCCGATGGGATTGGAGTGATCCCAGTGGGCGCAGAGGTTTTGGGATGGATGAGCCATCCCAATGGGACTGGGGAGATCCGAAAGGATGCAGAGGCATTGGGATGGATCCTGGTGGGATCGTGGTGATCCCAAATGGATACGGAGATGTCAGGATGGATCCCAATGGGATTACAGTGAGCTCAATAGGCACAGAAGTGTTGGGATGGATCCCAATGGGGCTGGAAATGGGAACGGATGGATCCCTACTGTCAGCTGTCCCACGGTGGGACTGGAGCTGGGGACAGACATATCCCAGTGGGTGGATGACCCCATAGGGACACGAAGGGAGAAACTGATGGATCCCAATGGATCAGCGTCCCCAGAGAGACCCGGAAATGGGAACTGACGGATCCCAATGGATCAGTGTCCCCAAACAGAACCAGAAATGGCAACTGATGGATCCCAGTGGATGGAGGACCCCATATGGACATGGAAATGGGAATTGATGGATCCTAATGGATAGATGACTCCATATAGACCTGGAAATGGGAAATGATGGATCCTGATGGGTCGCTCTCCTCAAACAGACCCCAGAAATGGGAACTGATGGATCCCGACGGGTCAATGTCCTCGTACAGACGTGGAAGTGGGAACTGATGGATCCTGATGGATGGATGACCCCATATGGACATGGAAGTGGGAACTGATGGATCCTGATGGGTCAGTGTCCCCAAACAGAACCAGAAATGGCAACTGATGGATCCCAGTGGATGGAGGACCCCATATGGACATGGAAATGGGAACTGATGGATCCTAATGGATGGAGGACTCCATATAGACCTGGAAATGGGAACTGATGGATCCTAATGGATGGATGACTCCATATGGACATGGAAATGGGAACTGATGGATCCTAATGGATGGAGGACTCCATATAGACCTGGAAATGGGAACTGATGGATCCTGATGGGTCAGTGTCCCCAGACAGCTCCAGAAATGGGAACTGCTGGATCCCAATGGGTCGCTGTCCCCAGACAGACCCCAGAAATGGGAACTGCTGGATCCCAGTGGGTCAACGTCTCCAAACAGCCCCCAACAACGGGAAGTGACGGATCCCAGC